TTGCCATCTATAAACTAACTAAGCAGCCTGACGTTAGTGTCCAGGAGACAATAGAATATAATCATGATTTATTGTTAGGGGCACTTTCATCCCCAATAAAGTCACCCATAATCTGCGCTGTGCACATAGCAAATGAGTTCAATTTTTAACGATACTGTATTTTTTTAGGGGTGTGCAAATAGTGGTTCGAATCGAATAGCAGTGTCATTTGTAGCATCAACTGTGTTAAGAGAACCACCTATTGTGATTCTCCTTTGCACCGTGAAGGTGGTGAATGATGCAGCACTATTCGATTCAAACCGCTATTTGCCTACCCCTACATTAATTGTTTTCTGCAGTGTCATTATCTCACTCTGTTTGTAGATCTATTGGTGAATTCTGAATGTAACGCAGAACAGTTCACTTCAATGCTGGGAACTAAGCACCGGCAAGACACCTTTGTCCTAAATTTGTTTTTTTGAACAAGGAATCCAACGCACCATGGTTGAACGAGCCGTTCGCCCAAAGCGTTAACTGACCAAAGTCAGCTCTTTTACAGTTTCTGAGAGATGTGAAAGATGTGCAACTGCACTTGCTATACATTTATCTATTAAATAATACCGCAGTGCTAATTATAATGAGGTAATGGCTTTAGAAGGACGACAGAGTTGAAAGGATACCTGTTCAATAGGGACGGTAAGAGGAAAGGATGTACACAACTATTACCTCACTTCATTGTCGTTGTCATTTTATTTTTCTCCTCATTTTAATATTAATCTTATGGGCTTTCTTTAGATCTACAGAAGTACAGGAGTGACCCTGCACAGTATCAGGAGTACCTGAAGAGGGCCACTTTCAACTACCGCCTCAGTCGTACCAGACGCCTCATTGAAAATTCCTTCGGGATCATGGCCAACAGGTGGAGAATTTTGAGGCGAGCATTTAAGGCGTCCGAAGAGATTACAGAAAGCGTCGTGAAGGCATGTGTCACACTGCACAACTTTCTTCTGAAAGACTCTGCGCACTCGAGAGCAGCATACAGCCCTCCAGGCTATACAGATCATGAAGACTGGGAAGGAAAACTCATAGATGGGCAGTGGAGGAATGACAGCAGTGGGCAGCCAGGGCTGAGAGACCTAGCTGGCGTGGGACTTCGCCCCGCAAGGTAATTTTTTGCATCAAAATAGACCGAAGAAAACAAGTTTGCAATATTGGGATTTGAAATTTTCTAATACCATACTTGAAACTGCTCAGAGCTAAGATTCTATACATGCTCAGATATTGTACGATGTGTTTCAGAACTGCTTTGGCTGTGCGGGACCAGCTGGCTTCATACTTCATGAACGATGGGAAAGTTGAATGGCAAGACAAAATTGTGACTCGTGCGGGATGCCAACAGGTATTTTACCCACTATAAATATGGCCAGATGAGTATAAGTTAGGGTAGTAACTATTTGGACGTCCACTCTCAAAATAATTCAAAGTATTATTTTGACGTCCGTGTCGCCACTTCTTGAAGATGTGAAAATATTTTTAAAAACCTTTCGACATTCCCCGTCAAAATACTTTTATTATTGTCATGTCTCGAACTTAGAACTTCAGAATCCGGACTGAGGAGCGATCGATAATGGTGATAAAAAAATATATATATAATCTTGCCTGCACGCAGTGCCGCGATTCGACACATCTTTTCCAAAAAAACAAATGTCATGCAGTCGGCTGCTGTTCTTTTTTTTTTTTTCTGAACTTCTAAGCGGTGTGGAATGCAAAAAAAAATCCTAAAGTACATCAGCTATCAGGCTGCACGTAGCGTTTGCTTGGTTGTGCCCAACATTACAAGATGCAGCATTGCTGCTTTTCATGATTTATTTTACAAGTTTTGTATAGACGAAGGAGCTGCACGCAGCGTCATAAAATTTGCAGTTATTGAAGAATGTGTGCATCTCGTGCAACCGAGCCAGAATATTCGTTTGCACTGGTCAAGAAATGTCAAGGAGGCCATGTTTGCATGCACAGCCTTTTATTTAACATCCGGATCGTTTCATAGTTAACCTTGATCACTGGCTCAGTTTACACAAACCAAACAAAAAATCTAAACTAAACAACAAACTCGGGGAACACGGTTAGAACAGGGCGGAAGCCAGATGCAAAGTGAGACAACCATATGAAGACGCGCTCGCACGATATGGAGGAACAAAGAGCGTGCCAAATTTCTCAGTGTTACGTAGTGTATGCACTTACATTTATTTATTTATTTATCTGAAAATAGTGCAGGCTTTTCTCAGGCCCTGGCAGGTTACAGGCAACAATACTTACGTACGGGGAAGACAGAGGGATATCCAGCTCGCCTTTGTTGTAGAATCAAAAATTTAGGTGAGACGTGTGCCGAAATAAGATGCAAGCTCGGAACATTGCCGCTGGTTGTGACAGGTCTGCAAGGATCAACTGTCGAGCCAGTCCCACACAGACGCTCAATAAGACATTTCCACTGCCGACTAGGACCGAAACTTCTTAGGCACGAAACTTATTAATCCGTCAAAACGTCTACACAAGACAATGAGGAATTAAACAGAACGAAACCACGAAACAGCTTCCACCCTACCATTGTGATGGCGGCATTGAATGTGCACTTCGAAATAATAAAGCCACTATAGTCGGTGACAGGTCAAGAACGCAGTGGAAGCTCCTCCCACCTCTTTCCACTTTAGTAGAGCGAACAACGGAGAGGATCGCCTCTTTTTCAGCGTTCCCTCTACTAAAGTGGAGAGGGGTGGGAGGAGCTTCCACTGCGTTCTCGACCTGTCACTGATTATAGCTTGCCGTTTTATGGAAGTGAAATTACAGATGTTGAAACAATTTCAGGTATTTTGACGGTGGACATCGAAATAGTTGCTGCCATAAGTTATTGTGCCCTTTCAGGAAAGAAACTCAGAACCAAACGAGGACTTGGAGACATAGATGGCCTGGGTGTCACTTTGCAAGGTAATTTTATAATGACTTGTAGAAGAAAGCTGGCTACTTTTGGGTAAATGAACCTCGATTTCCATTTCAAAACGATGTGAAGCCCATATGACCTCCATTTTCTGCATGTGCACAGATTGTACATTACTCCTATGTCACAGGTAGCACGTACCCAGTAACTTTTACATTCGTGAAATAACCAAAGGACATATCAAGCACGCAACCCAGAAATAAAAATCCACCAAGCTAACCAAGATGGTCGTCCGCATCAGCTGTTTCTCCCAGCACACCACTCCAGAGCAGTGAAGCTGGCCTTATGTTGTGCTCCTTCTGCATTTTTCTTTTAGCAGCTGGGCACTTGCTTGGTATTTTATAATGTAGAATGCTGTAGTGCCGCACCGCTTTGGTTGTGTGTAGTGGTTGGCAGCATACTTTACGATGGGTTCTATTGCAGGAAGAACTGTAAACCCTTGCAAGACATCAACAAGTTGAGAGAGAGAGAACAACTTTATTTTAACAACTCGATCAACACATCTAGCCATTATAAAAACCAGTATGGCTGAAGTAACATTTGAGTCGGTTCCGAAAAGCAAGCCAAAATTGAGCAAACAGTATAGACCAACACGCGGCCCTGACGTCACGCAGCTGCGGTGGCGCCGTCGATGGCACTGCGCATGTGCAGGCGCTTCACCTCACGCGAATTTGGTTTCTGCACACGCGCAGTGCCCACACCTGGCATGGGCAAACACGGGCTTGTTTGTAAACAGCATGTCGGTGTATACTTTTGTAATTTACGTCTAACTTTATTATTTTAATCAAACAAATCACAGAAATATAAAAAGAAGGCAAAGTTTTATTTCACACATATTTCAATTGCACCATTTTAGCTTCTCACGAAAATGAATAGAATTCCCTATGCTGTTTATATAAATACTAAAGGTACCACATTATTGCACATACTCCTTTAAAGCTATTTGTTCCACACAGACCACCATTAGGTTTTGAAACTAGCTTCATATTGCCCCTTTCAACTTTATAACAATATAAATAATGCTTTTTGCTTTTTATGTTCTGGAACCAAGTGGTTGCAGTGGGGTGACCCCTATCAAGTGAATAACAAAATACTACTACAGAATTCAGATCAATAACTTCTTGCATAGAAAAATGTAGGAGGATCAGAGACTAAAAATGTATACACCAAGCTTTCAGTTAAACAAGAGAAAAATATGAAAAAAATATCAGCATTTCCCTTTGCACCAGTGGTGATAATTTCACTTGAATAGAATGCGAAACATACTTGAGCCTCTGGTAGTACGAGGCAGCACACGAAAATGTAATTACGACACCAAGTTCCTTTAAAACAAGAATCCATATAAATGTGAGAAACAAGTAAGATTCATTGTATTGAATTATTCAAAGCTTTCCATTTCAGCGTTATAGAGAAGTGTGTTAATTTGGTACATCACCTCACACCGTTTCTGCGGTGTGAGCACCCTCAGCTTTGCTACAATCCAATTTGCACCCTCCACGCAGTCGTCGCCAGGTGGCACTTGTTCCTGTTCGCTCTTCTTCCGGATGTTGTTGAGCGTTGAAGAGCAGGTCCCAAGTACATCCCGGATGGCTTGATCAAAGTTCTCCTCGCACCGTTGCTTCTTCCTACTGCGGCATATCGGAAAAATATGCTGTTATATACTGACAGTTTGATTTGTATGTTTTAATTTTACAGGAACTGTGAAACATGCCAGTACCGAGAAGGCGGTGCTCCATGGGCTGATTTCTTGGCTGGCCTTCGGAAAGATATTGGAAGCACATAAGGCTGTGCAATAATACTGTACATAAAAACCTTTCATTTTCTAACCTTGGAGTGGCTGTCGAAGTGCCGGATGCTGCATTAGCCTGTGCGCTCTGCCTACAGAAAATGCCGCATCACAGACAATTTACATTCATGTCATAGTAACCCCCAGGCCAGTTGACACTATTGTGCATTGGCCTACAAACAATATCGACCCAAAGGAAGCACAAGCATGAATAAAAGTGTAGCATGGGACTGTTTTCTCCTACCTTGGTGGAGCTGCAGAAGAGCCTGATGGCAGGTTTGTCTGCATAGTCTGTCCATAAGAAGAGCTACATACGAAATGCATAATTAGAATTTATGCCATGATATCAATGAAAAATTGCAAACAGAGCACAAAATAGGACGAAGACGAGATAGGAAGCAAACGGGACGACCGCTCCTTCCCTCGTCTTTACCCTATTTGGTGCGCGGTTTACATTTCATCATACCATGAAATCCTACATTGCAACTTTGACACAATATGTGAAATAAATTGTCCGTGTCAGCTGGCAATGTTGTGCATTGCGTTGCAGTGGTATGAAATCGAAGGGAGCACATGAATATTCAATTCTACACAACAGAACATTTAAGGTAAGGTAAAAATGCAGGTGAGTGGGTAAATAACTTTCATAATAAAACAAGGACCGGCAAAACACGAAAATCTCAAACTCAACTTCTAGTTAATTTTTCACTGTCGGTTATATAATAGCAACTGAAAAATAAACTAGAAGCTGAAATTGAGACAGTCGCGTATTTGCCTATTTTTTATCGTCCCTAAAAGGCTCGCCACAGTCGAACGTAGTGCAGGTGCGCACCCGCTATCACAGCCCATGGAGATGTTTATTTGTTGCAGATCTCAATGTGTAATTGTATGTCAATTAAATCCATGCAGACTGCTTTATGCTACGTTACATGTGCTTGAGGTCAGACTATATCAAACATTTTTGAGGTTAAGGTTTCATATGGAAACATTGGAGTGCTCGATGCCAGGTGTGCCTCCTTGTTTTGCCTTTTAATTACCCTAGCTAAGCGAAAGGCACAAAAAGTTTTGAATTCGAACCTGCCCTGTGAGGGTCTCGCAGTAACTCATTCTTGAGCACAAAGACTGTCGTTTGCAAGGTGGAGAAAGCCCAAAGCTGTGGAGTGAGGGTCAAAAGCCCGCACTTGGAGGCATGGATAGCTACAGTGTAGCAGAACAAAGTGAGAACCCACATTTCTGCTTAAATACAATGGACTTTCTCTGTACCAGCTGACAGTACTGTGAATTTAATTACAAATGTCAGATTGTTAGGTTAGACAAATAAAAAATATCTCACTAACCACTCTGGTTCCTGGTCATCATCAATGTCTTGAATGTCCCTGCTGCAAAACAAAAAGACGCAGTATGCTCGTAAAGAAGAAAAAATGCATTGTAAAACAGCGTGATGGGCTATTTGGTAAACATTTATTACCACGATGAAAACTGCCAACACAAAAGACACGAGAGAACTCAAGTGCTATTCACAAGAATCTAAAGAACCATATGAAAGATAACTACATGGCCAAGCAAGTGCTGGTCTGTGTACAGTTAACAATATCTGTATATCGTTCCTGGGATTTCTTTGTAGATAATTATGAGTAGGGACATGGCAAACTCCCTAGGTTTGGTTAGAAAATTTTGTCAGATACCGTTGATGTCGCCACAACCTACATACGCTTTTCTGGCTTTGCTTGAGCGGCTATAAAGTTGCGACATTGGAGTGCCGACATTCAAATATAGAATTTAAAAGAAAAAAAGTGTTTTCCACCATGACCAGCACACTTCTCCGGCTCACACTTGAGCCACTTTAGTGCAAGCTTGTGCCAAACTTGTGCGAAGTTGGCTCTTGCTCCCGCCATTCTGAGTAAAGCCTGTGCCGAGGAAGTGTGGTGCTTGGGATGAAATATTATGTATAGGGAGCAAGTACTTGTTCCATGATGTCACCATTCAGTGCGGTCCTGGGATGGTCAGTTGTGGTATCACTGTGTGCATGGAAGTGCACAAAGTCTAATTTCCGGCTTCTATGTGTTTTTGCGCTGCTGTACGTGTGTTCGATGGCTGAACACCCTTGGCAAAATGGCATCAGCTGTTGCTGGCTTCACGCGGCCGTTCGCAAAATGGCGTCAGCTGTGGCTGGCTTCACGCGCGTGGCGGTACCGTGCGTGTTTCTATTCATTCGGCGTTCGTTGCCATGGTGACGGCGAGGAAAGCAGACGTGCGGGAAAACGCCGCGGCGCAGCAACACCAGGTGCGTTTTAAGGCCCCTCCCGCATGCTTTTCAATGGGCGGAAGGCGAACAAAAAGAGTTTGAAAAAAGGACTTAACGGAGAAGGCTGCATTTCTCCAGCGCCTCATAATGTGACGAGCCTTATACGAAAAGCATATTTTTTTGGCCATCCCGCGTCTTGTTTTTTTCATCCGTAACATGGGTCTAAAGTATCAATGTGCCACTTTGGCACATTGATACTTTTATTTATTCCAGAGTTACTGCACTGTAATAAGTATTTCTGCTTGATATTCAGTATTTACTGATTCACGTGTATCTGCATATCACAAACCAACATATAAAGAACTTATCAGCATGTAGGCGAACAGTACTAACAAAAATACAAACAGCACCCACCTCCCATCGTCGTCATCGTCATCCTCTCTGTCGGTATACCTTTTGTGGAAGACAGTGTATTAGACTATGAACGACAAAGCAAATGAGAAAGACATTACTGCGAGGAATTTGTAAAATGCTGCGAAAGCGCCCAATTAGTTCCCCCCAAGCACCCACTATTATCATTTCCCAAACTTGGCAAGTCTCTAAATTACATGTTAATTACCCCATTTAACTGTACAAGCACCCATGTCTAGGTAAACCCAGTTTTCAGTGAAAGTAGGGTGGGCACACCGTCTCTTATTGTATGTTGCAACTGGCGTGCAGCAGATCAGTTACGGTACAGCATAGGGCTGCTTCATTTTACATAAAGCTCCAACTCGTGCTGGAACCTATTGTGGTGAAAATTAACCCTATGCTTCGCAATGGATGGAGGCAGTTTTTGGCACGCTAAAGTTAGTTCCTTCAATACCTATCACTAGCCGTCGGCGCATCAAGAAAAATCACCCAGCACTCAAATTTTCAACATACTCGCTTGCTACCTACTATACAGTGACCAAGATTGTTATAGCAAATGCATCTAGGGCAGCAATAAAGGGGACAACAACAAAATAAAGGGGGGTTTACGCATGTGGATTATGATACCAATCGTGCTTTTCGTGTTCCGTCATTGGCGGGGGTACTTGCCATGCTTCTGAAGACTCCCTAATATTATGAACAATGCCTAATGAAGATTTACTTACATTCAAACACGTGGACCTTTCAAATAAAAAGCTGCTTCAAACTGCCGTATTTGTTGACTATACACTGGGACGCTGCAGAACATGCGCAACTGCTCTCTGCCAAGAAGTATTGTACGCCACGAATGCATCCAGCTGCGTGATTTGGCATTTCTCGCCTGGGTAGCGTTGGGAAGGTGTATAGGGAAAATGGCAGAGGGCACTTACCACCATGGCGGTGGACAGCTTAACAAAAATGTTCAGGCTTTCCGCTCTCTTGAAGAAGGAAGACCAGCGGAGCTGTACTCGATATACTGTGTGCTTCTTCTTCGTCGTCGTCTGTTTTTCGCGCTGTTTCCTACGATGAATTCCCACCAACGCGCTGCAAAACTATCCATTCTTCTATCATAGCTGGAAAGGTCGGCGCCACCTACGAGCGACGGCAGAAACCGTACTGGTTGTGTGCTTGCCGCCGTCGTTTATAGATGGCGGTAGCTGTCCAGGCAGGTTTGTGTCGACATACACGGACAGGATCCTGGGGAACCTAGCCCTTAACAGCTCTGCTGTAGAATAGAACTGTGCTACTACAAACCAACACAACGAAACATACTTACATTGCAGCAAGTACATCTTGAGCACATGTGATGTTTAAGCCATGGCAGCCCCGGTCACCGCTATAGAAAGCAGAGGAAAAGTTTGTTACTCTAGTTTTCCTCTCAACTTATGTAAAAAAAGTACAGTGTACCTTTCCTGCAGCCCTGGGCTGCATGTCAGTGTGCTGCCCCCACTGCTGGACGGTTGTGGTGTGTTTCTAAAAACGGCAGCCAAAACATTTGCAATAACACTGCAGAGATAGTCTGTGAGTTGACAGAAGTTTTGCAAGGTCGAAAGAAAAACAAGCAGCGTATGGGAGAAAATAAGCACATGCACAAGACATACCTTTGCTCGTCTGCTGGTATGTTAGTAATTATCCTGAAACATGAAAAAAATATATGCATGTAATATATTCTTTTAAAAAGGAAGAGAAGGGCAGTTTGTCAATGGGCAACGTAGTGTAAAGGCCTCCCTCGATAAAATTTGCTTGCAAGCGGGCAGTTAGTATTTGGGATCCCTCACAAAAAGTTGAGTTGAGCGTGTAGGAGCTCGACAACTTACTTCTCGGCGTAGTGAGGGGTGCCTCTAAGCATTCCGTCTACGACGTCGAAAAGGGCCCACGACTTCAGGCCTTTCCCGGCGTTCCCCCCTGCTCCGCTTCGGCACGCATTGTCTACTTTCGCCAAAATTTTCAACCACCGATCACGTGCGTTTCGGAATTTTCCCATTGCTCCGACTCCTGCAGAAGATATTCCGTCACACATGGAGTCAAATACTGTCACCAAATCGACACGACATCCGTCACAACACAGGCGACATGCAATAAGTGCCACGGAGAAACTCACCTGTAATGCCAAATTCTGCTCCAATAATCTCCCATCGGTTGTTTTTCGCGTCTTTATCCAAATAGTCTGGTTGAGTCTTGTCGTACAGAAAAGGAAACATTCCTACAGTCTCGAGGAAGCGCTCCGTCGGGAACGGCATTGGGGAAATGGGAAGTAGGGAGCGAAAACTAAACAACGCTACGTGCCAAATTTACAACGTGAAAGACGCGCCGACGCGCGTGGAAGCGGCTGAACCGGCTTCCGCGTTGCCATGGCATCGCAACGTCACTAACGACGCCACCTCCCATTGGCTCTTCTCTTCTGCGGCGTGCGGCACTGAGCTCTGAACCGCGCAAAGAGCGGTTCGGTGTGCGGCGCCGCACGTCGCGACGTTGAAGCCGAAAACTGGTTTCCGCCGGCAAACGGCAACGCCGACCGTCGCGCCGCAGGCCTCCGAAACGCCAATGTGGTCGTGCCTTTAAGAAGTGTGCTAAGGGTTCCGCGAAACGACGCAGAAAGGCATTGGGTATCTTATCAGGCCCAGGTGACTTTTTCGTTTTCAAGTTCAATAACATGGAAAATACGCCTGCAAGCGATATGCAATCAGCATTCACGTAGGACCGCTCATGATTTTCACACTCGTACGTTTCAGCGTCAGAAAAAACTGACTGGAAGTATCCATTAAAATGACGAGCGATCACTATGGTGTCATCAATCGCTGTACTGTCAACACATATTTGGTCGATGGGTTTTCTTTTGTTGCTTAGGTAGCTCCAAAACTTCTGAGGGTCGTTTTTAATAAAATTAGGCAGAGTATTAGAAAAATAATAACCACGAGACTGCTGAACGTGCCGTCCTAGCTCGTCCTGCATGTCCTGAAGGCGACCGTTGTTTCTACGTTTAGTTTTTTTAAGGCGTTTAATCCTTCGCTTTAAGTGAATTATTTTCCGATTCACCCAGGGGTGAGCCCTATTAACACGCTTTTTCTTACTGGGTACAAAGTTATCCAAACAGTAGTTGCAAATAACCTTAAATTTGTTCCATAAAACTTGCACGTCTGAGTCGTTAAAACTATCAAGTGCCAAATCCAGATAGTCCAGAATACACTCATCATTGGACTTCGAGAAGTCTTTAATTTTCTTAACTACACTTTCCCGTTCAGGTGACTCTTTCGCTAAAGTACAACAGAAATAAACAAGTTTATGATCCGAGATCCCCCTCTCGACACTGACCGTATAATCAGATAAGCATCTACTAACAAAAACGAGATCAAGGATAGAGCAGCTCGAGCCCTGCTCTCACGTGTTTTCGGTTACAACCTGCTGTAGATCATAGGCAAACATAGTGTCAAGAACAATCTCACTGTCCTGACATGAGTTAGCGGACAAATTGGCCCAATCAAAACCCGGAAGGTTGAAGTCCCCAACAACTGCAAGTTTATTGTTCCTGTATGAGGATATGTGGTTGTACAGTTGGTTTAGGAAGTCTGGTTGAGAATTGGGAGGTCTATAAACAGCGTACAATATAATTGTGTTACCCCAGCAATTCAGCTTTAAACATAAGCTTTCATGCTCTTCAATCTGATCTAGAAGCACGGCATGAATATTATCTTTCAGTATTACAGCAACCCCCCCACCACGCGATGGGCGGTCTCTGCGGAATATGCTGTAGGATGGTGGAATGATACTATCATTATTAATGTCCTCGTGCAACCATGTTTCCGTTATTACCGTAATATGGGGATCATAATTCAATAAGAGAAGTTCCAGTTGGTTAACCTTGTTCACAATGCTCCGTGCATTTATGTTTAAAATGCGGAGTTGCTTTGATTCTGGAGTACATGGGCGTCATTCATTCGAACGTGGTTGTAATTGTGGCAGCTGAACGCGGGAGTTTGCGACGTCATCCCAGATATACCAGTCATCATTTATACGAAGCTTGTCATGTACCAAAAACACTTTTTTCCCTTGGTCCTTATCGGTCTTAGCGCTCAACCAAAGTGCCCGACGTTTTGCTAACGTGCTTGGTGAATAGTCGTTGCAAATGGATATCCGTGTATTTTTTAATTTTTTGACATTGCGAAGTATTGCTTGTTTTTCGTTATAGTCCTGAAAGAACAAGATGACAGGCCTTTTGTCACTAGGTTTACCGAGCCTGTGAATCCCTGAAATGGAAGTGCAAGTTACACCTAGTATGCCATTCAGGACCTCTGTGATCACTTTGCTCTTCAGCTGTGGTTCCGTTTCATCTTCTGTTTCTGCTATCCCGTAAACGACTAGATTTGATCGACGGCTCCGATCCTCGAGATCTGTAATTTTCTGAGTTTGAAAAAGAACAGTCCTTTCAAGATTTACGAGGCTACTTTCCAGCGCCTGAACTCGTTCCGTTTTCTGCCTGAGCTCGTGAAGAATTTGGTCAAATTCAACAAACCTGGCGTTAATTCCGCTTATCATGACTTCAGTTTTACTTTGTTGTGTTTTTAACTCTGTAATTTCTTTGTGGATTGCACTCTGTCCGTTCATTATTTGTTGAAACATCTCCTCAGTCGTAGGGCCAGGATTGGTCTCGACATCACCGCAAACAAGTAATTTGCATGCATAGAAACAATCATACGCAATGTCAATACAAGTTTGTGGGCATGGCACAACAATGAGCATGAGAGTATTGCTCGCAAAAAGAGAGGTTTTGTGACCAACCTGTATAAAAAAGAGCGTTGTCTTAGTTGACATCGTGCTCTTGTCGCTTTCGCCGAGCCCACTGAAGATGAATTCCTGGGTTAGTCCTTTTGTAGGCGTTGAAGCACTTGACGTCACGAACCCAGAGGGCAGCACTTCTGCGACTGGCGATTGTAGAGACACTTGGTCATCGTTGGCGGCTTGCTTGTCGCTTCCACACGTGCTGTAGTCGATCGGTGCTCCAAGATAAGAACAGAGCAGGGCCTGTATAAAAAAGAGCGTTGTCTTAGTTGACATCGTGCTCTTGTCGCTTTCGCCGAGCCCACTCTAGGTCGAATGGTCGAATGGAGCATTTAAAGAAATTATACTCTTTGCTCTAGGTGCCTATAATGCACTCTTCATAAGAAATCAGAGCGATCTCTGATATCCTGGGTGTTTTGCCAAATCAAGATAAAACACTCTGAGCTAATTAAATCTGTAAGCTTAATTCTATTTTCCGAGGGGCACACCACTTCTTGCAAACCGTCAAAAATTTGTCAAGATCACCGAGAAACCTTTTGGCGATAAAAGTGGATAATAACATTTTAATTTCGGGTAAAAACCTTTACATTAGTTACGTAACAGCTCGTGCCTACAAAGGTTATATTATTTCGCGATTCGGGCACTTTTTTTAGAACTTGCATGTGCAGTCTGACTGACATGATTATTTATGATCGAATAAGCCAGTTTGATAAACGGGACACTGCGTTAATGTTTTTTTTTGTTTTTTTTTCAATTACTTTCATTGAGTGCGAATGTTTCCTATTTCATTGCATCAGTACTAATAGTAACACAAAACCAGCCCTGGGATATTAATGTGAACCAGCGAAAGAAAGACTCGAGAGCGTCTTCAAAGCGTTGCCGCGAGCAACTGAGTGAAGAGAATAATTAAAGAAATGTTCGGTGGCGCGTGCGGAATTGCAGCGGTCACGGGGCTCACACTACGCGCTTGATTATTTAAAAAAGTGTATATCGCTATACAGGGCGTTTCAGAGAACGCAGGCCAACTCGCTCCTGCGAAAACTTCTTATCGCACCGCAAAAAGGCTTGTAGCGTTTCGGTCCTGGGCTAGGGGCTCATTTAGGAAAATTACTAAAGTCCGGGATAATTAAGTTGTCAATCATTTTTCCGTAATTAATTTTTAGAGCGCAGCATTAGGGGCCCGTTTCCGGCTTGAGCGGCGTCGGCGTCGGCGTCGGCGTCGCCGTCGCCGTCGCCGTCTGCGTCGGCGTCGACGTAACCGCGCGGTGCATTGTGGGTAAATTTCCCCGCTAAATCTAGCGGAAAAATTTCCCGCTAAATCTAGCGGAAAAATTTCCCCGCTAAATCTAGCGGAAACATTTCCCCGCTAGATTTAGCGGGAAAATTTCCCCGCTAGATTTAGCGGAAACATTTCCCCGCTAAATCTAGCGGGAAAATTTTCCCCACAAGCTTTCGCGGAAAAAATTCTCCGCTAAATCTAGCGGAAAAATTTCGCCGCTAAATCTAGCGGAAAATTTTCCCCGTTAGATTTAACGGAAAAATTCCCCGCTAAATCTAGCGGAAAATTTTGCCCGCTAAATCTAGCGGAAAAATTCCCCGCTAAGTTTAGCGGGAAAAATTTTCCGCTAAATCTAGCGGAAAACAATTCCCGCTAAATGTAGCGGAAACATTTTCCCGCTAAATCTAGCGGAAAAACTTCCCCGCTAAATCTAGCGGTAAAATTTCCCCGCTAAATCTAGCGGAAAAAATTTCCCCGCTACATGTAGCGGAAAAAATTCCCCGCTAAATCTAGCGGAAAAATTTTTCTGGAAATCGTGTGACCCCCCAAGGTCACATGACCCCCCCCCTCCCCCGAGGTCACGCGACACCCCCCCCCCCCCCCCCCCCCGCCCCGAGAACACGTGACCCTCAATACCCTTCCCTCCTCCTCCTCAAGAGCTGCTCTCCAATTCGGTGTTACAGGGAGTTGTAAACGGCTTTCATTTTTTAATAGTGTGTTTAAGGGCATGGTTTAATGTAGAAAATTGCTCAGCATCATCGAAAAATACTAAATCAACACATTGCAGAGTGATAGGAGGCACGCAAAGCATTTTACGGCTTTCTGAAAAACCGCACAAAATCGACGGGTTTTTAAGCAGGGTGTCGAACCGGAACCGAACCGAACCGAAAACCGGAACAGAACCGTTATTTTTAGCCGAACCGGAACTGAACCGAACCGAAATCTTCGCCGCCATCTTGGAACTGAACCGGAACG